TCACCTGATATTGTCCCTTTAATAGTTGGGGCAACTCTACTTCCAGATGCACGGCCAGTGACTCTTATTGATTTGAGTGGCTGTCCAGAGCCAGACTAATTGGGCCTGAGATTGGAACAATGATTCAGCAGGAAGGGGTGCGCTGACAAGGCAGAGTCCATCCGTCTGCTGGCGGGCTGGCTTTGCAGCAGTTCTTGCCTGCCCACAGCAGCAGGGAGCTTGGCAGGCTGCATCTCACTGCCATTCTCACTGTTTGAGAGCAGGGTAGGACTCACCGGACCTGTGAGCTGGTGGTTAAATCATAATCCCCAGGTCCCAATAGCACTGCCCCATATCACTCTGTGTTATCTCTTAAGCTTCTGAAATTGATGATGAACACCTCCTTGCTCTATCCTTCCCTAAATAATCTATCTCATGGCCAGGTACCGTGCTCTACATGCATTACCTGTCCCAACAGCACTCTGCAATATTGGGGTGGGACTCTGGTCTGAGTACCAGGATCTGATCCACTGTTTGATAGCATCTGGCCCATCCCATCTCTAAAAATCAAGATCTGTGACAGTTCTGTTTTTTACTTTTTTGAACAATGTTTTCAGTGTGTGCTGTCATCTCGTTTCTTTTCTGAATGTGTTGATTGAATAGTGGGGGGCTAGGTAAAGTTTGTGCTGGCATGGAACCCAACAGCTGACTTTTATTTTTTAAAATACATTAAAAAAAATTCAGAGCTGTTGGCCATCCTATGGAAACTTCTCTTCACCCTGTAATTCTGTTTTCTAAAATGTGTGTACTTTAATAACTTATCAGAACAAAGATAAACCCCATGAATGGCAAGCTATTTACGTCACTCTAAATTGGTTTTTGATCCTTGTCTAATATCCATTTTTACCAGATTTGATCCTTGCAGATGTTCTATTTACTGTGCTGTTTTCCCATAGAACATATTTCTTTTATAATATCTAATAACTTAATAATAGTAACTCACATTTCAGTTGCAGTTAACAGTTTACAAAGCTCCTTTTATGCCTTGTCTCAAGCTGCATTGTATTGTCCTGTGTGTATTGCATGAGGCAGGGCTGCAAAAGGAGGAAGTGAGAAAACCCTGGGTCCAAGTCCTGCATTTGAGATTTCCAGCTATGTGACCTTGAGAAGTACTTGAACCTCCTGAAACTGGTTTCCTTCTCTGTAAAATGGACAAGAGGATTAAATGAGAGCATGTATATAAAGTGCCTTGTAGCACAGTGCCTGGTGTGTAGTAGGTATTAAATAATGATAATTCCCATATTTTTGTTATATCAATAGCAGTCAGTAGTTTTCAAACTTTTATGTGGCTCTCAATTTTTTCATTATATTTCTGTCTGGCTCACAATGATTTTTCCTCCTGTGAACTAGTGACCATCTAGGAAAATAATTTCATTACTTTACTTTGAAGGAAGTATTAATTGTTGAATATACCTTGATTGATTTAAAAGGTTCCAAATCAAGTAGGAAATTCTCAGACATTCTGAAACTGATTCCTGAAAATTCCGAGGTAATCCCTTCTCCCACCAAAACATTGGAAACAGAAAAACCTAATCCATTTGAATAACATACAAGGGAACATATAATTATCTCTGGGGAATGACAAACCCTTTGAAATGTTCATTCATTTATTCATTCACTCACTCATTCACTCGAGTATTCAATAAACATCTGCTGAGTATTGAGTATGTGCTAGGCACTCATGAAAACATTGGCTGTTGGGAGAATTTTATGGAGAAGATAGATTTTGGGAGAAAAATAAAAAAGCCAAATTGATAACAACACCTGTTTTATTTTAGTTGATTGCATCTGTTGTCAAAAAAGAAAAACTTAAATGAATCTACTTAGGGCAGGATCTTAAGAAGGGAATTGAATGAAAGCAGAAGGCGAAACTGAGTTTTATTTTATTCTCCTCAGCCAAGAAAAGTCTGAAATGGCAGCAGCCTAAACCATTTAGACTTGGGCCAGATGACTCTTAACCTGGCCTTGCTCCCTACCCCCCTTGAAGTTGAGAGGGTTGGTACACCCCCTGAATTATGTGAGTATGCACATCTCCTGGGCTTCATGTCTGACATCAAATTTTCAAGTTGGTGACTTCCTGTAAGGACAGTGGTGTCCTCCTATAAAGCTAAGAACCCTGACTTCCATTCAAACAGACCCTCTCTTTTTAAAGGAAGCAGGAGAGTGACTCACCCATTACCCACATAATGCTTTAGAAACAGTTTTATGAGTACTGTAAAGTTTTTTGGGGTTATGAATTAGTTTACTAATTAGTTACAACATTTAATATCAGTCAATAAAACTTTGACTGCTTCTATGATTAATGACATTCGGAATTAATAACCAATAGTACTACTAATGACTAATTATATAATCGATTAATAGAAAAATCCTTAAAGTGCCTTATAGTGCTGTTTGGATGTGAGTGATAACTAAACATTTCACATAAACATAACAGGGAGCATACAATAAATAATGAGGATTTATTGTTTGGCCAGAAGCATCTTCCTCCCCAGGTATAGACCTCACTAGGCTACATGTCACTCCCTGCTATACCCTGTCTGGTTGAGAGTAATTACCTAAGAGGTCATTTGTAAATATCAATTGAACAAATGAGTGAGCCTCATTGTGGCTCCTTCCCTTGTTGCTCCTGGGTGAGAACCTCTGGATTTTAGGCTGGAGCAAAAGGCCCAAGTGGCTTTTTGCCTGAACTTGGAGCCCAGAGAGTGGAATTCAGGTGTGTCAGGCGATAGGTACGCCTTGCCCTGGCCCAGGTGAGTTAAAGGAAGTAAGGGAGCGACTCACTCACTACCCACATGGTGCTTCAGAAATCAGTTTTATGAGTACTGTAAAATTTTGGGGGGTCATAATAAGTTTATTTACTCTGTTTACTATGTGCCAGCTCTGCCTCCCCTCTGGTGGCAGCCGTGGGCCATCTGAGGGCACAGGGATGAGATGCGATACCTGGAGGCTGCTGTCCAGATGCCTGGGGTCTGATATGTGCAGTCCGGGCCCTTCTGTTGTAACCTCTCCCTCCTAGTTTCCTGTGACACAAACAGAAACAAAACATAAACTAAGTCAATTATCATAAGGTCACAGGTCTAGCCCATGAATGACGAGACAAGATTTAAAAGAAATTAGACTGCAGCCAAATGTAATTAAAAAGGGTTTTGATAGAAATTGAGTATAATAACCCTGTGTGATGATTCTTTTAAAATGGCATCTGGTACATCATCTAGGACAGTGGAGTTTAAAAACAAAGCTGTAAATGCCTGTAGTTAATGGCCCTGCTTTAGATTTCTTTCTTTTATATCACAATGTTTGTCATATTATAGACCAGGGCAAAAGGAAGCATAAGACCGGCTCATAGCTGGGGCTCACTAAGCCCTCTGGGTGGTTGGATGGTGTCTCAGTCAGCTTGGGCTGCTGTAGCAAACATACCATAGACTTGCGGGTGGCTTAGACAACAGACATTTACTTCTCACAGTTCTGGAGGCTGGACGTCCAAGATCAAGGTGCTGGAAGTTCAGTTCCTGGTGAGGACTTTCTTCCTGGCTCATAGATAAGCCTCCTTCTCTGTGTCCTCACATGGCAGAGAGTGAGCAAGCTCTTGTCTATGCCTCTTTTTATCAGGACACTGATCACAGGGGTCCCACTTTCATGACCTCATCTAAACCTAATTACCTCCCAAAGGCTCCTCCTCCAAACATCATCACACTGAGGATTAGGGCTTCAACAGGAGAATGTGGGGGGAGATAGACGTTCAGTCCATAACAGATGGGGAAGGCCTTTTGGTCCCAGCAGCCCCCTAGTTTTTAAATTTTTGTTCATTGCCATCTGCTGTTACCAGGGGGTGGAGATGGGTGTTCTTGGAGAACTTGGATAATCCATACCAAGAATTACTGGGAGGGGTGGTCACTTGGAACACTGACTGGAGGGCTTATAGGAGAGCAGGAGAGCTACCTTCTATGTGTCCCTCCTAGAATGCTGGAGCATCTCCCATGGCTCAGGCATCACCCTTGGTCACCCACTGCAGATCCATTGTCCGTGAACTTTCACAACTGTTTCAATCCAGAGCCCCAGTGGTGGGGTAGCCTCAGAACTGTATCCTAGTCCATGGAGAGGCTGTCGTGTGCTCTGCAGCTATCATTAGGCTCTTGTTCTCTGCCAGTGACATCTAACTTCACATCCTTAAACTGAAAAATGCCAGAGAAGTCTTCTAAAATCTCCTTTTTCATTATGTCCTCACTCACATATCCACAGTGGAGCCAAACTGCCAGAAATCCAAGCTTTTCATCCCAGTGGTCAACTCCTTCCTCTTATCCTGTCCAACCATGCTTTCTTACTTCAATTTAGTTTTTTATTATGATGTATTTTAGATGTATGAAAAGTATAGAAAATAATATTATAAAGGCTTAGGTTCCAACCACTCAGCTTACATAAACAGAACGCAGTTCCATTGCAGCGCCCTGCAGCCCCTGGTAAACGGGACCACGAAGAACAAATCTGGGAGCAGCACAGACAGCAGGCGGCGTTCCAGTGCCGTGTGTAAGAACAAGCACTTGGGGCTGGGCAGAGCCAAGGGCAGTTCTGGCTCTGCTTCCTTGCTGGGAAAATTGACACAATCGTCTAACCCCCCAGATCCTCATATCCTCATCTGTAAAATGGGGAGAAGAATATATATTGTGTTCTCCTGGGGCTGTGGAGACCAAGTGGAATGATAATGTGAGTAAAGCCCTTAGCTCAGTGCTGGGTATGTGGGGAGCACTCAGCTGATGGTAGTTGGTGCTGGTGGCTGTTGGGCTTTTATCATCTTTGTTGTAGACTACAGAGGTGGGTCCCAGGGGAGCAGTTTTCCCACCTACCTTGACTCTGGGGAGGCCCAGGTGGTTGTCAATGCCTGGACCCAGGCAGGAAGGCAGGGAATGTACCTCCCTTGGTGGTGCTGTGGTCCAACTGATGGGGTGCTTGGTGGATTTCAGGTGCTTGTCTTGGCTGTGAAGCAGCTGTTTCCAGAGTTTGAGTTCATGTGGCTGGTGGATGAAGCCAAGAAGAACCTGCCTTTGGAGCTGGATTTCCTCAATGAAGGGAGGAACGCTGAAAAAGTGGCCCAAATGCTCAAGCACTTCGATTTCTTAAAGGTAGGAGGGCAGGGCAATGAGGGCATGATGGTCTGCTGAGAGAGTGCAGGGGAGATACGGTCCCTGCCTAAGCATCCCCCTTTGTAGGACATGATATGGGACATCTCCTTCTAGAGTCTTCTGTATGAGGATGAATGATTTGTTCCTGGCAATGCACATTAAAGCCCTTGAAGGCAAGGTTACAAAGAAATACCAAATGTGATTGTTGACCTGTCAGTCAATCCAAAAGATGTTTATTGAATGATCTACAATTACAAGACGCTGAGTGTTACCCAAGGGCCTGTAAGCCGTGGTCACTGCTTCCATGAAGCCTGGGATGGTTACATTGATGATGATGATGGTGAAGATGATGATCACTAATGCTACTGGGCTCTGGCACTGTTCCTCACACTTCATGTATGTTATATTAGCTCAATACACAGTCAGTTCTGCTGTAACATAACATAGGTGTTCCTAGAAATCTCCCTAGTATGCAGAATCACACAACAGAAGTCACAAGGCTTATGGGGAAAACAGTGTTAGATTTACATCACTCAAAAATGTCTCAGTGGCACAGGAAATAAAAGAATATAGGAACCTAATGAAAATAGCAGGATTTTACACATTGAATGGCTGAGAAATACATAAGACCACAGTACACTTGGCACTTTGCCTTGACATATGCTTGTGGAAGTGGGCATCAAAAGGGTTGCTGCTTGTGAGTTACTATGAGGTGGTGGAAGGAGGGCATCTGAAACTGGAAGGAAAATAGTAACGCCAGATGTGTTATAACACATGTGGTGATGTTTGAGGTGTGAGTGTTTCATGTATTCCTATGTGGTACGTGGTTCAGCTGGAGATAGTTTTCTGCGTTCACATGGTGTTTTTGTGGATGATAATGCACATAAGCAAATGCAAAATTTGTGTCATGATCAAACTGTTCCCTAACTTATCAGTTGCATTGGAACAAATTTGCATTTTCAAGTATTAGAGCAGAACTGCCTGTGTAATAGAAGACGCTTACTGTGGGAAAGAGTATCACATGATACAGAGTGGCAGCTTTGTGTGAGGTCCTGCTGGTAAGTGCTCTGAAGATTCAGAAGAAGGGACTCCTGTGATGGATCAGGGCAGGGGAGGCTCTGTTAAGCAGGTGGCACTGGAGCTGGCCTTTGAGGATGCTCCTTATGTTCCCGATAGGGCACATGGGGTTGGACCGAGAGAGAAGCATGCCAGCACTGCTGTTCTCCCCCCACATTCTCTCCTTAGCAGGGTGTGGACCCTTGTACCAGGGGCACCTCTTCATGGGGCAAGGGGTGGGCCCCTCAGGTAGTCTACATGAGAGCTTGGCTTTAGCTCTTGGTAGAGATCAGCCTATCTGTCTTAACTCAGGAGGCCTGGAGAACATGGGAGGGGGTGTCACAGAGCCCCTAGGGGCTCTGCGTGCTAGTTCCGGAGCCAGCAGTCAAGCAGTGCCCTCCTCTGTACATTAAATGGGAGGGCCTTTTGCTCTGGACTGAAGTATTCATGTGGCCTCTGAAAACATCTTAAGAAATGGAGGTAGTGTTTATACTTCTGCTGTCCAAATTGCAGACATGTGGTGAACTGAGGGAGGGTCTGCACTAGCCCCCTGAGAATCCTTAAGCTCAGATCATGGGGCAAAAAAACACAGCTGTGGGTATCAGTGTAGTGTCTTGACACACTGATTTTGTTGAAAGGTGTTGCCGTAGGCAAAGTTGAGCTCTGAGTTGAGAGGTCTGTCTAGATGCCCCCATATTATGCTTGACTGGCTTTTCCTTGGCCCCCATCGCAGATGTGGAGGTACAGATCCTCTTGTGCCTATAAATCCAGATGTGCAGACTGGGTCTGGTAACACTGTCCAGCCTTGAAGTTCAAACCACCAGTTCAGTGAACACTTACTTGGCTCTCAGACCAGTACTAATATTAGTGAATTAGCATAATGTTCTCCACTTGCATAACCTGTTTCTTTGGCTCCTTTATTTCACATTTCCTGAGCCTGTTGCTGTGCTAGGAGCTGGGGGGTGCCTAGATGAGTAAGGTATCATTGGCTCCCAGCCAGCAAAACTTTCCGTCTAGTTGGGGACAATCACAGAAATGTGTTGTTACAGTATAGGTTGGTCATGCTTGTCTAGGACAGAGACTTATCTGTGTTTCTATGGATGCTGAGAGAAAGTGCTTAATTCTACCCAGATGAGGAGCTTCAAGGGGGCTTCCAAGAAGTGCTGATTATACGAAGGGGTGGGTAGTATGTACTGAATGATTCTTCTGCTGCATTGAATCCTTCCAACCATCATCCCATTTTACAGATGGTGGATGTAGAGTAGAGGAGCGACGGCTATAACTCAAATTTTCTGACTTCAACTCTGGTGCTCATTTAAGGACATTTTGTTGCCTCTTCACTGTCAGGGGTGCTCCTCAGCACCAGAACGATAAGCCAGACAAACAGAACCATCTCCTCTGCTGTTCCCATGGAAACAGCAAGATTGTCCCCTGACTGGGGCCAGCTAGCATCTGCCAGACCAAGACATGTAATAATAATAATAATAATAATAAAATTTTTAAACAAGGATGCCAAATGGGTAAATAATTAATATAACAATTCGAACTGCTGCTTCTAAAAAAACCTGTACACCATCCCTAAGACAGTGGTGGAATGGAAAGCTCCTGAGTAATTAATTTTGCCTAAACACATAACAAGTAGGAAGTGAATTTTGCACTGTGAACCCAGTTCAGCTCTTAAAAATGGAGATAGATTGCTTTTGCATGCTGGCATACCATCACAACATCTGTGTGTAATTAAGCCTCAGCAAAGAATTTACCTCTCAGTGTGTGAGGCATCTTCCAGGGGGGCTTTAATAACCTCAGCCCTATGCTATAAATCTCAGAGCCTCAGGCAAGCACTGAATGCAAACATGGTGTCGGGGAGACTAGGAGAAGGTGAGAGGCCAGCCAGCTGAACAGTCAAGACCAGGGCATTTGTGGATTTGGCACCAGAGTGTGTGTGTATGTTGTGGGGAGGGAAGAGGGCGAGCAGTGAAGTTTGTGACTGGCCTGGGAGACGGCTCGGACAAGGTAGGAGGGAGAGCCCTGTGACCACCGGGTCTGGGGCTCGAAGAGATGAGAGGAATGTGTCTGTGTAGATGGAGATGGATGTAGAGCTCATCTCTTGAGCAGGGTCCCTCCAGGTTCTTAGTGTGAGGTCAGGAGCCTGGGACTCTCTAGAAATTGGAGGCAAACCCTGAGGGTATGTACATGCTTGGAGAAGTACCATAGCTTACCAAGAATCTCAGCGATTGAGAACCACAGGTGTATAATACTAATATTTTTTACGTGCTTGTCCTGCTAGACATTTTTTAAAGTGCTTTACATGTATTTACTGTTTAATCCTTACACAGTCCCACAAGAGAAATGCCATTATTAGCCCCATGTCAGCAGTAGGGAAGCTGAGGCCCAGGGAGATTAAACCATTTGTCCACAGCTTCCTTGTAAAGAGCAGAGGCAGGCTCTGCATGGAGGCAGCCTGACTCCAGAGCCTGCACGTTAAACCACTGTGCTATTCTGCCTTCCTAATAATTTATGGGCAGATGTGAATTATGCTGAGCTGTGTGTGCCATTACGTCTCAGCCCTGATTGTGCATCATGTGAAACTCTACATGGCTGTCATACGGCAGCTGATGTTCACTCAGCAGGTTCTAAATGTGTGGTGCTGTGCCGAGCACAGGACTCCACACGTACTAGTAGGAAGTAGGGATTCTTCACTGTAAATGTCATCACCATTTTACAGGTGAGGAAACTGATGCTCAGAGAGGTCATAAAACTTACCCACTGTCACACAGCTTAGAGGTAGCAGAGTCAGGGTCTAGCCTGACACTCTGACTGCAGGTCTGTGCTCTGCTCCCTTGGGCTCAGGTGGTGGGTGCTGGGCCAGACAAGCCGGGGCCTGCTTCCCATGGGTGGCCACAAAGCACAGGAGCAGGAAGCATGAAGTCAGGGCTGGACGCTGAGACTGAGGCCTGGGGTGTTGGGCTGGAACTTTCCATAATCTGTGCCCTTCTTCTTGGGGTGGAGATTGGCCCCAGGGTGGGGGCAGGTGGAGTCCACAGGAGCAGGGCCTCTGCCTTGTGGCAGGGAGATGGACCTTAGGCCCAGAGGCCCTGATGGCCAGGGTGTGGCCCTGTCTTTGGGGTCAGCAGGCACTCTGCCCATGGGTCTCCCAGGGTTTAGTTTTGTTTGGGAGGGTGGGGGAGTTGGAGTGGTTCTTAGTGCCTCTTTAAAGTGTTTCTCTTTCATCTTTCCCTTCCTTGAGAGAGGGAGCAGAGGAAGGCACGGTCACGGTGGGTGCTGGGATGAAGTGAATTTCACCAGGCATGCCAACCCTCCTTCCCACATGGTGATTTAGGGTCAAGTCACTTGACCTTGTATCCCCTTGTCAAGCCAAATTTTGCAATTTTTAGTCATTCCCATGTTCTAGCCAAGGTGAATTGCAGTCCTCGCTGAGGTCCATGACAAACCCCTCTGTTGCCCAGATTTGAGTTTCTGTCATTTCAGATCAAAGCACCTGAAGCAAGGGGAACATTCTATTGTTAGCCTGGGTTGGTTTCATTGGGAGGGAGTGTTGGAGGGGGCAAGATGGAGGAGGGGGAGCCCAGCACACCCGTGACCCTGATTGACAAGCCCGAGAGTGTCCGGCCTTTGGGTTTTCTCTCTGAGTCCTGTGGTTTTCATGGCTGTTTTCCAGGTTGCTCCAGGCAGGCCCAGATGGGGGTCTGACTTCAGTCTCCAGAGTCCCAGCTGCATACTGCCAAGCTTAGGTTTCCAAACAGGCTGAGGGAAGAACTTAACCCCAAAATATGTCCCTGTCATTTGGAAGCCACAACAACAACAAGCTAGCACTAAGAATACTTTCTAAAAAATGCCAAGCAAAACTGAGTCTTAAGTTCAAAGTAGCAGAGAGTCATGGATTTCTCTTATTTTGCCATTTTTCAAATGGCAAAAACCGCAGGGAAGTAACAACCCAAACAACACCTGGAGTTCAGTTGGAAGCTTTGCTCCAGGGATTCCAGAGTGCTTCAGTTCTGTGTTCGGCCCCAGCTACCCTAGGACCCTTACCAGGGTGGTGCAGCAGCAAGTTCCTTCTGCAGGAGGAAAACCAAGGGAGAGAGGACTTAAGTGGCTGGGTTAAGACAAAGCAGTTGTTAGCAGAACTAGGAAAGGAAACAGATTTCTTGACTTGAGGGGCCATTAGCTTCCTGCTTGATTAGTTTTGGGGGTCAGGATGAGGGAAGTCCTTATTCCCCTAAACACCTGAAATAGCTGCCCTTGTTTTTCATTTGAAAGTGGAAACAAGTCCATCAGGCTGTCGGGGAATCCTGGCCTGCTGCTGTCCAGGTAATTCTCCCCCCTGGGCTGTGGTGGTACCGATTGTGTCGCTCACTCATACAGCAGCCTAGCTGCCCTGGTGCAGTTCGGTCTCTTGCCTGTTGGTGGGGAAATCTGTTCTCTTTTTAGCTGTTGGGTTTTCTCAGAGTCACAGGGGGTGGGAGAGCAAATAAGTGAGGAATGCATTTGTCTGCAGGTAACTGACAGTCCAAATTAAAAATGTCTTAAACAAAAAGGACTTATTTTCCTCATGTGATGAGAAGGCTTGCAGCAGTTGCCTGCTGGTGCTGTCTCAATGCTTTGACAGTATCAGGGCTGGTATCCCTGTGACTTTCTTGGACTTCATGGTTGTAAGATACCTGCTGCAGCTCCAGGTATCATATTCACTTCCAAGGTAGGAAGAGAACGGTGAGAAGAGTTGCATTATCTACAAAAATCCCTTCTTATCAGGAAAATAAAAACTTTCCTAGACCCCCTAGCACACTTTCACTTATGTCTCATGAGCCAGAACGTGTCACGTGACCATGGGTATGTGAGGCAGGTAAGGAAAGTATTTAGGTTTTCCTGTCTGTGGGGAAGAGGAGGGTTGGGAATAGGGAGTTAGAATGCATCCCTGTCAGCCGCAGGGGGCTGGGAGGAAATGGGTGTGAGCAAACTCATGACTTCCTGACTGAAAAATTATCACCCAGTAAATATACATTCATTCATTCATTCATACAAAGTTCCATATAATACACCCATTGCACAGATACAGAAACTGAGACAAAGTGTTGAGATTCACTTGAGGAGGGCCTGGGGAAAGAGGGAAATACCTTTTAATGCCAATGCTGGCTCAGATATGCGGGGTGGCATACATTTTCCCCTAAGTACCAATTTCAGTTTCGGTTCTTAATTGTGCCTGGAAGGCACTGAGGAGGGCAGAAGCCATTCTCTGGCCCCCACATGGGAGAGTCTCTAGGGAGACGGCTGGGTCCTCGCTGGCAGAGGCAGCACCTGCCCTCCTCTCCTGGCCTGCCTCCTGCTTTCCCCACTGAGGTCCCTCTGAGGCCTTCTCTCCTGCTCCTTGGGGGAGCAGCTGTGCTGTCTAGCTTGCTCTGTGGTCCTCGCCCCCAGCTCCAAGCTGCCCAGGCCCTTCTGACTTGCCCTTTCCTGTTCCAGGTCCCCCAAATCTACTGGGAGCTGTCCACCAAGCGGGTCCTTTTGATGGAATTTGTGGATGGTGGGCAGGTCAATGACAGAGACTACATGGAGAAGAACAAGATTGACGTCAACCAGGTGAGGTTGAGAGCTCACAGTTGCGGTGCAGGGGACACAGGCTTCGCTGGGGCTGCCCAGCAGGGCAAGTGTGTCCAGGTGAGGTCTCACTGCCTTGAAAGGGGCCTGTTGTCTGAAGAATTATGAGATCACTGAGCATGAGGCATCCTCCAGATCATCAGTACAAGCCTCTGTCCCATCTCCTAAGCTGGGGCTGGCAGCACGCAGCAGCCACATGCTGACCCCTCTTTGCAGCTCCTGCCCGGACAAGTGATTACCATCTGTCCTCTTGCACCATCTGAGGCCCACAGAGCTGAGCAGCCACAGAGGACTACAGTGTAAAATCCCCGCGACTTCATCCTTCTGTCCCTGTGGGGTCTGGACACACCTCCTCCTTCCTGCTCTCCCCTCTCCCTGCTCCTCCCCAGATCTCAAAGTAGCAGGCGAAAAGGGGACAGCAGTAGCCTACTGTTCCCACATCATAAAGCTAGGATGAAAGGGGGGCTTCTGTCTCCCATCTCCCACCCCACTGGTCTCAGGGAAAGCAGGCCAGTGGGCTGGGGACTGTACCCCATCTTCTTCTCCTAGGTTGCCATGGGGTCCCACAGGTAGGGATGTAGTTGTACTTTTTCAACAATTTCATTGTACTTATAGTCCCTATTATGTGCTAAGTAATGGGTGTTTCAGAGGGGAATCAGACATAGTTCCTTTCTTTAATGGGTTCACAGCTTGGCATTGCAGTTAGACACATGACAAAAGCCTTAGAGCTGTCTGTTAGGCAGCAGGAAGGGTGAGAGAAAATCCAGGGGCTGTGGGAAGGCGCGCTCATCTCTGCCACAGGTCGGCTTCCCCAGCAGGATGAGTAGAAATTTGCCTGTGTGTGTGTGTAGGGGGTGGAGGAATTGGGGACAGGGATGGCATGGCAAGGAAAGGGAAGGGAACGGTGAGGGTTACCAGGGCTCAGGTCGGGGTTTCCAGGGGAGTATGGAAAAATAGGGTGGGGCAGATGATGAAGGCTTTGGGCATTACCCTAGGGTACTGGGGAGTCACTGAAGGGTATTGAGGACTGCAGTGACATGATCTGTCACTCCAGCTGGGTGGGAGGAAGGAATGGAAGGGATCAAACCCAATAGAGGTAAATGCTCTTTCCTCCTCTCTCAGGCAACACCCAAAGATGAGCCTGTGGTCTCAGTGGTGTCATGGCCCAGAGGAGAAAGTCACGCTGGCTCAGCAGATGAGCAAGTTGGAATGGCAGGAGGGTGTGAGGTTGTGAGCCGAGGTTTCTAGGTGCCTGTGTGGCCTCTGTCAGTGGTGATGATGATAGCCCCTACTTCTAAGAGGATTGTAGGACCATGTGAGTTAGTGTACAAATAGTGCTTAGCACAGTGCCTGGCATGTGCTTAGTGCTCCAAAATGGCAGCAAGATTGTTGTTGTTTTCATTTTTATCTGTGGGCTCTGCCCTTTCCTCCTTTCTCCATTATTTCCTTTTACCATTAATGTTTATGGAATGTCTAACTTCCCGGGCTAGGCCTTTTTTACCATAATAAACTTAGGAGGGAGGTCTCATCGCTCCATGTTGCAGATGAGGAATCAAAGATTCACTGAGAGAAGGTAACTTGCCCAAAGTGACACAGCTAACAGGGCTGGGACTGAAACCCAAGTCCCTCTGACTCCACTACTCAGTCCATGAAAGGAGGGGGTGCATCTGAGTGGATGGGGCTACTGCCAGGTGCATGGCTGAGAAAGGTGCCTGCCTGGCTGGCCTTGGCCTCCTGGGGTAGCTGTTGTCCCCTGACTTAGGGAATGGTGCTCCTGGAACCCTCCGGGGGCCTCAGGCCATGTGTGGTGTGTGGTTGGGTGGGGTGGCTGGACAGCACAGGGCCCACCCTGCTTCAGCGAGGGCAGCTCTGCCATCACCTGAACTGCCTGTGGGGCTTTCCTGGACCCATTCTACATAGAGGTGGCTGGGGGCAGGGTAAGAAAACTACTGTTCTAATTCAACCCTCCACTTTACAGATGGCGGGGGTGGGAAGCTCAGAGAGAGAGCAACTGTCTTTCCTGAGGTCCTGACTTTGCTTCCCTCACTGTTGGTGTCTAGGATGGGCCTGCGGAGGGTCTCAGGGCAGAGCTTCCTGCAGAGGAGGGAGAAAGACCTGCTTGCCTATCTTTTCCACTATTGGTGGCAGGGTCCCTGCAAATAGCCAGGGATCTTTTGCCCCCCAGGACACTTAAGTACCAAGTCTTTGGCTTCAGTGGGTATTGGGGGAGGGGAGGAGAGGGGAGGTGACGTCAGGCATTTCCTGATCTTCCTTGAAGCAGGGTCTCTGCTTGCTGATCAGGTAAGCCCAGAGGCCTCACAATCCCCTCAACCCCCACCATTTGCTGACATTCCTTTACCGCCAGCTGCCATGGGATTTTCATTCCAGCAGCACCCCCAAATCCATTAATCGCTTTGGATCCAGTGAGCCCAGGGCTGGAATGGTGTTTAATCTGAGGCAGCTTTGATTTTCAAAGACAAATGCCAGCAAAGATGTGCTGTAATGTAGTCACTTGCTCATGGCTGAGTGAGGTGCCTGGGAGGAGGGACAGCTGGTCTGGAGTGGCCTGTGGGAGTCGGGCAGGGTGGTGTCCTCTGAGGGCCTGGGCTCATCTGCTCCTGCCTCCACCCTTCTGTAACAGCCTTCTGTGTAGAATGGCTCCCTCAGGCCTCATGCTCTGGCTTGGCCTCTGTGAGGCAGGGCCCAGGCAGAGTATTTTCTGTGGATATGCAGAGTTGGGCAGGCTGATAGGAGTGGTTTGGGAAAAGTAATAACAAGAGTAATAATTATTATAGGCAACTGATTTGTGCCAGGCATGTGATATGTACAATCTCATATGCTCTGCTCTTTACAGCTGTCCTGCCAAAGATATATCATTAACCCTATTTATAGATGAGAAAGCTAAAGCTCAGCGAGGTTAAACAACTTTCCCAACATCACACAGCTAGTGGGGCAGAGCCGGCATTTGAACTTAGGTCTGCATGACTTGAAAGCCCTGGCTCCTCCACCTGCTGCATCTCCCTTGCAGGGATGCACCTCGGGCTGCAGGGGCCGCTGCAGGGGCCACCTGGTTGACAGCCTCACCACTGGCTCCTTGGGGGAAGCTGAAGTACTGACTGAGAAGCTTTGTCAGCACCCAGGGCACTATCTGAGTGTGCCCCTTCTCTCTCTAGCTTACATTAGGGTGGTTTTATCCCTTTTATACAATCATTATTCTTTTTGTATAGAAATGTGAGGATTAGGTAAATTAATGCTTAGCCCAGCACCTGGCATGTGGTCAGTGCTCCAGATTGGTAGCTAATTAATCACTATTGTTGTTTTCATTATTATTATAATTCCTGGACCCTGTCCTTTCCTCCTTTCCCTCCTTTCATCATTAATGTTTATCAACTGCCTGACTCCCTGTGTCAAGGCCTTTCTGCATTTTCAACTTGTAAGGGAGGTCTTATTGTCTCCATTTTGCAGATAAGAAATCAGAGACCAGAGAGGGAAGGTAACTATGTAAGGTCCAGGTCTTAATGGTATACTTTGTAAGTTTTCATGTGGATATACTGTGTAGTCACCAGCCAGGTAAAGATCAAATAATTTCTTGTCCTCTGGCAGTCTCCTTTATTACCCTCATCCCCCTCAGAGCTACTGCTATCTGACTTCTACCCCACGTATCACTTGTGATCATTACTGAACTTCATGTAAATGTAATCATACAGTATATAGTCTTTTGGGTCTGGCATCTTTGTCATCAATCAGCTGTGGGGCTTTTCTAAAGGTCTGTTCTCTTCCATCGGTCTCTTGGTTTATCCTTGCAGTAATACCACACTGTCTTTAGTTCCTTGATCCCCTGCCCTTGGCTTCTAGGCCATGGGGTGTGGGCCATGTGTTCTACTGTGTTGTCACTGACCATCAGTGATGCTGGGAGTAGACCAGGGACAGACCCTACTTTGCAGAAAGCATCTATTATGTCCGTTACCAACCAACACCAAAGCCATGGCCTCCTGGAAGATGTGAGTGTGCGCTTGGCATATGAGAGACTTCACATTACTTCAAGTTTCTAACAGACTTTTAAAGTTTCCCAAAGAGTGTGGGACCCAGCAAGCTCATTCCTGGAGTGCCTCTTCCTCTTCAGGACAGCCTGGCTGTGAGTATTCCTTGGGGAGGGAGAGACAAGGGGCAGAGATCTCAACCCAAATCCCCAGTAGGGTGGCTTCTGGCATCTTGGCTGCTTCAAGCTGGTGACTTAGCTGAAAGGTGAGGCTCAGTGGGACATGGTTGCAGAAGAAATTGCCCTTGAGGTGGGTGGGGACAGCCCTGATTCTTCCCACCACCTATTAAGTTGTCCCCACTCCACTTTGGAGAGTTCCCTTCACCTTACAGTGTCCTGGCCCAACTGGGCCTACCCTGTGAGGACCTGAAGACCAGTCTAAGTAGCCAGTTCTCCACTGACTTAGGTAGGGACCTGCCAGGTTAGGAGGCAAAGAGACCTGGGATCAAGCTCTAGCCCTGCTAGTGGCTGACTGTGAACATGACAAATCACTCCCCATCTTTGAGCCTCAATTTTCTTATTGAAGGCGTTGGGTTACCTGGGTTCTAAGGGTATGTCCTGCTTGGGTATTTTACATAACATTGATTCTTGGCTTGCTGAGAGCTAAGACTCAGAATCACCAGGAAAGCTTATTTAACAATGCACATTCCTGGGCCCCACCCCAAATTTACTGATCAGAATCTGGAATGGGAAGGGTTGTAATTATCTGCATTTTAACAAAGTGGTTCAGACAGTGACTGAAATTCAGGAACCACCTCTTACAAGGCTGGAGGACCAGGCACCTCTGACCTTAAGCCCTGCCCAGGTGGGCTCACCTGCTAGGGAGCATGAGGCCTTGGGGAGCCAGCAGCCTGCAGGAGCCCTCATTTGTTTGGGTCTGTAGCCCAGCAGCAGCGTATTTCTGAGGGCCTGACCCAGTTGATCATATTTGCCAGTCACTTTT